GGATATGAATGGAAATGCAACTTAGTCTACCGAAAGCTTTGCCCAAACAAAGAAATTATTTGAAGAACAATGGGTTAGATTGCAAATTATTCAATATTTATTGAGACTGTTGCTAATACTTGATCCTCGACGTTTGATGCTAGCGGTACAATGTCCGAAATCACTTGACTCGTGGATAGGCCACTAAATGAAAAGATTGCTTCCACGTGGTTGAGTGTGATAGCCTCGTAATTAGAAGCTTGTGCTGATAGAGTATCAGACAATAGACTTGACAACTGGTGCCTTTTTGAGTGCGTTGGCCTGAACTTTCCAAATTTCGTTACCTAAAGCAACAAGTTCTTGGCCAAAACGCTCAATCACTGTCTCCACTTGAAGATCTTCTTTCCGGAGTTCCTCCCGATACTCGTCATCGGAGCCAAAAGTAGCCACACGCCAAATTCTTTTCCACCTATTAATTGCTCGAAGGGCTTTGTCGGACTGACTTTGGATGCCAGTCGCAACCATATAAAATGATGATCGCTTGGCATGACCCGACTTTGGTTTGAAAAGCTGCACTGAGGAAAATTGACTAAATGTGTAGACGAGTGTCACAGTATCCCACGCTTCAAGCTTGTGAAGAAGGAGAATCATGGTCCCGCCGGGCCGGAGAAACTGAAGACCAAGAGATAATTGCGTCACTGTTAACCGTCTAGCTTCTCGGACTTCTCGATAGGCGGCGCGTTCATGTTTTCTGAGAACTTGGCCGTCACAGATGGCTAATTCAAATAGTTGATTTGACTCAAATTGCCGCGGCAAGAAATTCTTGGCATCAGAGTGACCTTGGGGGATCTGTTCCACTCCCATGTCTGTAGCGAGCAGAGTGATATCTAGAAACCTTAGTTCAATGCTCGGGCTTTTAGGCAGGCGGCTTCTATGGCCTCCACATGTAATGGGCAAGCTAAAAGCAAGGGCGCGCGATCCGGGGTTTTTGTTCAAGGCAGTTTTGAGAAAGCCCCCAGGTGCCATGCACATGTCAAGGATATTGATAGGGCAAGGGCAAGCTTGTTGTATTGTCAGGGCAGTGGTGGACTGATGAAGCTCTTCTGCTATTTTCATCATCAACTTGTAGAAAAATATCGCCGTCCGTTCATCGCATTCATCGGCCTCTCGACGTTGTACTCGGAAGTACTTATTTCCTTGAGGGTTCTGCCATCCCTATTTTTTGATTAATTAGGGTATGGTATTTTGGTTGGATGTTACTTGCTCTTTGTCGCAGGTCACAGAGTACTCGGAAGTCCGAACTGTTTTTCAAGAGATAAGGCACAATAAACTGACTAGCATATCCTCTGTTGCTTTCATCGCGGAGATCTCCATGGCCCATGACAAACTGAGGACTTTTGAAATGATCTTCGGGCGAAGTGAGGACTCCCGCGTCCGCTTTGGTGGTGTCACGAGTGTACATGCTTTGATGTTATGGGAAGCTGGTTTTTATTTCAAAGCCAGATAAAGAGAAATAGGCGACGAGAAGCATGGAAAGAGCGGGTGGTCTTCTTTTATCATGAATGATGAAGAGACACGTGGAACGAGATCAATATGATTGCATATGTACACTGTTCATGGTCTCATGGGCCACAGCAAATTTTACAAATTCCTGACTCTATAATTTGGATCTATGGGTTTGATTGGTCGTTTCAGTTACATATGTGCACAATGCTGCCGTTATGAGATCCCTACAGCAGCTAACCTTACCTTTCCATGTTTGTAACGATATTGCGTGGCCGCGGCGTAGGAGATCATGCAACTTCCTCTTGTTCATCATGACCCTGACCTGAATCGTCTAAGTGCCTGGAAACAACAAGGTATATCACCCGGTGAAGTCACCTAAGATTGACCACTTAACACCGCACAACATTTCAATGCAAGTTGAAAATACCGATGCGGTCCGAGCTTGAGCTGGGCGCTTACAGCTCTCAGTTCATTAGCCAACGATGGCACCTCACCACGTCAGGCTTGGCATGAGATACCAAATAGAGCCAGGTGCTGTCAAACCCCCGCCGGGAACAAAGGCCCTAAAGCTAAAACCGCTTGCGTGGCCGTTACAATTTTGGATTCTAGGATGTGTTAAAGCCTAT